GCCTTGTACGTATTTGCACATATCAATACATATCGGCACAGGAAGTTTGATTATACTATCTTGAATGGTTTCTTTAGAGAATTTTTTTTAAATTAGGTCAAGTTCAAAGGAAAGGTCAAAGTCAAAATATTTTGATGCAGGAAAATAGGTTGTGACTTTCTCTTGGAATTCAATACCAGCCCCAACCTACATGTATACTGGTGTCTCAATATATCGCGGTACTTAATTCTTTTGCATAGAAAGTGTTATTTCAAATTATATGTGTCAATTTCTTTTCCAAGTTTGCATCATTTAACTTGTGGACAATTTTAAAAACAGGAAGTCTAATTTACCTATTACATTGGAGAGTCTCATTGTTTCACGGTATGGGAGTACATGGTAACTTGTACATGATATGACCTCAGTTTTTATTTTTGAATTTACCTTCTAATTCTGCATGAAAATAAACAACTGTACAATCTAATTAAAAAACTTTTAAAGATGAACTTGATTCTAATTTTTACAATGTTATAAATTTAATGGTCTAAATATAAGAAAAACGGAACTGGAAATCTGTAATATTACGTTTTATTTGAATTTTTTTTTTCAAACAGACGGTCCACACTTTTTAATCATATAAAAAGTAAACATTGAGACAACATACAAATTGTCCGTCAACAAAAAAAAAATTACTCTATGTATTCGAATTTTTGCAAGATATCCCGATACAATTAAACCCGCGATATAATGATAATCCAGTACACACATAATTAAACAAATCAACCGATTGACATTCTCGGGTCAGTGACTAACCAGAAGTAGGTTACCGTTATTAAAAATAACCCTATATCAGAGCGAACCCAATAATTTAGGTACATGTACCTCAAATACACAGAAATACAATAAGTAAGAAAAGAATTTAATTGATATTAAGTAGAGATGAGACAGTTATGAAGTTTTCTAATTTTTCTAAAATCGTATTCTGAAAGCCCGGGATGCATATATTTTGGCCGCTTTTCTATGTAAAAGTGCATACATGTATATAATTATACTTTCATGTACAAGCATATACCCGTAAAATCGTGCAATTGATCTATTCCGTGTATTCAACGAAAACAATAACATTTTAAGTTTAGTTGCAAAGAGCTGCAAACTCAAAAGACTTAGAGCTCAATTTAATTTTCGGGGTTTTCCCGTGAATTGGAAACATCACTTCCATATGCACTTCAATTATCATGACACATGTCATGAGGCATAAAACTTGATAAATGCACAAGCGGTTACGATTTATTAAAACAAGCATGAGATATATAGAGTGAAATAAAATAATATGAAAGCGTCGACATGATTTCAAAGCCAATTTCCATTTATAACTATCGAAGTACACGATGTATTTTTAACACCGACATGCCCGCGGCCACGCACGTGTGAACGAGGACTGGGTGCAAAACTTTTAGACACAAGGCGACAGAGGTGGATGTAAACTGTTTGCTAATACATAGGCGTGAATTATTGTATGTTTTGAAGTATTTATTGTGTTGAAGTTTATTTACTATTAATCAAAAAAAATTAAATGGAGAAACAAGAGACCGATGGTAAAAATAATACGTAAATTGTATTTTAAGTATATCAAGACTTCCACAACTACCCCGGTATTACTTGCCGAAGCCCCTTTTCAATTACAAATGAAGTGAAGTACAATAACACGGGATAGAGAAATATTTTTTTTTTTAGTTTTGAAATTTATAGGCACGTAAATAGGTCAAGAAAGCGATTAAAATAGAAAATGATTTTATGCACCAGTGTTTGGAATTGACTTGAAGATTAAATAAAAGATGGGCGAAGTAATCTATAGATTCGATATGATTAAAATTCAGTAATTAATATTTCTTTGTAATGTACACAATGGATCTTAAACGCGATCGCCGATACATGCACTTGCTTTGTTTATGTCCACTGGTAGTTTGTATACTGGTGACCTCGATCGACAACGTGGGATCGGCGCGTTAGGTTACATAACTTTAAACATTAAGTGAACATGAAGATTGTATAAAGCATACAGTTAACGATCGTGAATTATTCGATGCTTAAAGTTTAAAATTACTTAATATATAGTTTGCTGTAATAATAAACGTAGAAAGGTAGATTTAATATCCTCCGTTTTTTTGAACACTATAAAAGTAATTGAAAAAAAAAGAAAGCCTACATGTAGTTGTAATAGATAATTATAATTAAATAGTGAACCATAAAGCACATTAAAAAAAACTTATTAAGAAGAAAATTTACAATGAATACCGTAAGGTATATTAGTTATAGCAAGTTTGTTAAGTTATACACATGAAGAGGTCAGGTTTACTTGCTGGATGAAAGCGTTACATGTATACCTGACCTGCTTTTGACTGTGTATTATGCAATAACCCCGGTATATTCGAACAAATAAACATTCTCATCAGATCAAAAAGGTGTTGAAGAACAATTTTGACCGCATGATCCAGATCGAAATATTTACCGTTTTTGAGTTATAAAGCAAAAACTTCCAAGCTCCATAAATCCCTAATTTTAGGGGCCAGCCCCTTTTCTATAGTATCAAATGAAAGCTCTTGCAATTATGCACAGCTTTTCTTCTACATGTCTTAACAAAATATTTTTAGTTTTCAAGGTATAAAGGAAAATATGTCAAATTTTTTGCTGTTTTCCGCGTTCTAATTTTTGACCCCTCTCTAGCGCCATTTTAAATGCAAAAATCAAAAAGCAAAAATCGATGTGCACAACTTCAATGCTTCCTCTTTTCAATTTCAAAGGGTTTTGTGCTCCAGTTATTACCTTTTCTGAGCCTTTGTCTGGAATACAGAGGTATAAAAAAAATTCAGTCAAAGGGCAATAACTCGTTAATAAAAGGTAATTTCCGAATTATGTAACAATATTCGAAAAGGGTTTGGGGAAGTCTAAAAGCTCTGAAAATTTGAACAAAATCCGTTCAGGAATGAGGAAGATATGAAGCTTCAAAGTTGGCGTCTAGGAAAAAAAAAGAATAATAAGAACTAGAGCAAAGCTCGTTGCAAAGCAACGAGTAGGTCTTCCGTCCTGTTTGACCGGAAGTAGCTTTCATTCTTAACAAAAATGAAAAAATAACGCCTGAAATGTTTTGAATCCTCTAAAGCTATGTTAATAAATGCAAAAATAAGCCATTTTTTGCTACTTCCGGTTTGACAGGAAGTGACGACGACGGACGGAAAATTAATTTTTATGCTCCCAGAGACTTATGTTACCCAAAAACTTGTAAAGAACAGCAAAAATACGTGTTTTGCGACTACTTCCGGTTCGGCCGGAAGTGACGACGCCGGACGTATTTTGATGACCCCAATAGATTAACCTTGACATTTCAAACAACTTTGCTTCTTTGACATATTACAAATTCTCAATACTTTTTGAGATATAAAGAAAAAACTTTCGGCCCCTCTAGGCCCTTAACTTTAAGAGCCAGCCCTTTTTTCGAGATATCATTTGAAAGATCTTTTATTTCTATACCTTTTTTGTTATACATGCTTTAACAAAATATTTCTAGGTAAAAAGTTATCGTTGAAAAGGTGTCAAGATTTTTTAAATTCGTGATAGGACTATTTTTGGACCATAGCGGGCGTCGGCGTTTCGTACTTCCGGTGACAATGATATACTCAATTCACTTCTCCAGAGATTGCTCTATCATCACTGAAAATTTCATACTTCTATCTTCAACGATTTTTGAGAACATTGCCGGACAAAGTGACCATCTAAAAATGACAAAATTGTGAAAATCTCCAAACCGAAAGTGACGTCATCAAAATAAAAAAAAAAACGGATCTAGATTTTTTGATGTTCTATCAGACCTGAAAGTTTCATGAAAATCCATCGAGCCGTTTCCGAGAACTCGCGTGCACAAAATCGGTAAGAAAAAAAATAATAAGAAGAAAAATAGTGGAAAAAAAACTTAAGAAAAACAATAAGGTCTTCTGCTGAAGACGGAAGACCTTAATAATCTTAATCATCAGAATCAGTAGAAGGTCTTCCGTTGGAAACGGAAGACCTGAATGACTGCAAAACAAAGGCAAACAGGGCGGTAAAACCAAAGTGAACATTTATGGTTGTTAAGCAAAAGTGTACAGGGATGTAAAGTGAAAGTACTACAATCATCGCTGTAACGTAAAAGGTTATTTCAGCAGTAACGCAAAAAATATGGTCAACAGGACTCTAAAAATAATAAGAAATACATGTACATGTATATCTGAAGTTATTAATGAAGATTAGCGTGTAGGAGGGAAAATATTTCAAATTTATTGATGGTTATGGGTAATAAATGTTTTTGTTGAAAAATCAGATTGTTTTTAGTAAAATTAATTATGTGAAAAGTGAGAAACTTAATGTTCCTCGTCAAGAAAATTTCACATATTGCCAAGAAATATGTCTTTGAGATCCGGGTTCTAATGTGATTTAGTAAAATACAACTCATAACTACACGGTACGGGTATAATTTGTGTTTTGTTACTACTGATTGATCTTCAATTTGCAGGAAATAGAATTTCATTTGGTATAACAAAGACCTAAAGATAATGTTACATTTTTGAAAAATGGTTATATCACATACACTTCTGCAAGTTGATAAATTATACACTTTGAATTATCCTAATTTCTTGACTGCACTACAAATTCACGGGTCTTTATCTAAGGTGTATATTTGCCTTGACCTATATCGTACATGTATCCTCAATCCTTTTATCCTTCTATGTTTCTGTGAGTTGTCTATATGGACAAATTATTTTGTTTTTACACATTGAATAATAAAATAATATTACATTATTATATTTAGATTTACCAGTTTCTTCTTAAAATCAATGTGTTGAATATATATTTCTTTAATTTTCATTCATTTCTTTTACTATTTTTATCAAGTGCTTTCTTTAATAAAATTGTTAGAAATTTAGAATTAAACCAACATCGATGTTAATTTTTGTACATGATATAATTATATACTTACTCGTACTTACCTCCTTCAAGAATGCAGAGAAAAACTAAAATGTTTAGCATTCTGTCTCTACAAAGAAGAATGCATATTTCAATTGTACAAGTAATATAACTTTAACACAGTCATATGACCTACAGTTGTACAAATCATATACTTTACGTGCAATTTTTTTTCAGGTACCAATGTTTTCATTCAAAAGAGATCTAAAAGGTTTATAAATTAAATTCTACTTTTTGTGTACAATTTTTTTTTTCGTGAGGAAAATAAAATCCATTGTTTTCAGCAGAGATAATGCAATGAAAAAGACTTTTATAGTAATCTTACAGAAACGTTACAGAAAATAGAAATCTACAGAAATTGATTTTGAAATATTGAAAACATCAAATAACATCATTTGAAGAAAAGAAATTACATTAATCATTTGAATCTATGCCACAAAAACAAAAATGTGTGCCTATTTCTAACAAAATGTACATATACCGTTCTTTAAATGCACTCGCGATGTACTTTTTTATTTAAGCAAATTCGTCAGTAGTAATTACAAACATGTATCGCAGGCGTTGTAGAAATTAACTGAATTCTGTAGGAATTCAGTTATTGATATCATTGTTTAGGATTGTCATTACATAAGAATCTTATCTATGGATTCATTGACAAGACTTTAATGCGCTTACGTCAATCATTTGCATCAATTTAACAATTCACAATAGCAGAGCTCAAAAGTTTACTGTTGTACTTATAAATCTTTTAGTATAGTACAAAAACCTTGTCAGCAAATACAATTTATCGTTAAGTCAAACGCTGACTGATGTTTTTCATTCTAATTGTTAGCGCATTATTTAAAAAATGAAGTGACGACAGTTTCTTCCGTTATTTAATTCCCGAACATGACAAGAAACACACAGTAGGTGTGACCAGTCGGAAGGGGATGCTCACTCCTCCATGGCACCTGATCCCACCTCTGATGTTTAAACAGAGGTCCGTGTTTACTCTGTTACCGAATTTTATTGTTTATTGGACTTTTGAGCTAAAATATTGTTCGTTATCTCCATATTTCGCCCCGTGGGGATCCGGGTTAGAATAGGTCCTCAGTGCCCCCTTGCTTGTCGTAAAAGGCGACTAAATGGGGCGGTCCTTCGGATGAGACCGTATAAACCGAGGTCCCGTGTCACAGCAGGTGTGGCACGATAAAGATCCCTCCCTGCTCAAAGGCCGTAAGTGCCGAGCATAGGCCTAAATTTGCGGCCCTTCACCGGCAATGGTGACGTCTCCATATCAGTGCAATATTCTGGAGAGGGACGTTAAACAATAAACAATCAATCAATCAATCTCCATATTTCATGCAAAATTCTAACATACGTATCCTCGTAAATCATGATACCCAGTACATGCATTGTGCAGTTTTTCTTGAAAAGGAAAAATGTTTCAAAATGTCAGTGACAGACTTTTTCTTTGAACGCTATCGATAGTGAAGAAAAAGACAAAAGACCAAAATTACCATTATGTACTGTCAATTTTTGCCTCTGCTTCATTGTATTTCTTGATATTAGTATAAATAATACTAATCAATTGCATTTTTCATTCATTTGTTTACATAATGCATAAAATAGAAAATACTCACCGTCACGTTTGTGAAATCCGGTCAGAATGTTTAGCCTTGATGACCAACAGTGTGTCAATCGTTAGTAAACTTCTTATCTCGTCACGAATACGAAGAGCATTTTAAATGACGATAATGAAAGCTTCAAGGAAAATAGAGAATGTTCGTATTAAAGAAATGTCCAATATTATATATTGTCTCTTTAGGATAGTTTTTAAGCCAATACTAGTTCTGGATAATTATTTTTTGTAAAGTATAGTTAAAATAATAGTTACGCTCTCATGACAATTTGATTTTATACTTGAATAGTACTTTTCAAGCGCATAAATTGATGTGATTGTATAAGGTCACATGCGCTGTTTATCTGAGAAAGACCGTCTTATTTAAGATTGTAGAACAAACTGAAAATATTTTAATTCGATTAAGGGTCATTTTGTACATGTTGTCTTTAAATCTTTCAATTAGAATTCGAAAGTCATTCTTCTTAACCACACGCTACATTTTAGTAGGATTAGTCCACATGCATATCAAAATAGGTCATTTATTCGGTAAAGAAATGTCACGATAAAGTTGGTGTAAATATTTATAATAAAAGATCAGGGCACAATAAAGAAAAAAGGGGAAATGAAAACTGATCAGCACCACTCTACCGATAGAGGGCGTGATATAGTTACGTCACTTCTTGTCATTCTGTTGCTAGGGGTTATTGCAAGTATCTGTTTAATATACATTCAACTTGTGGGGGTTCAAAACGAACTCAGCGAATTGAAACACTTACGGGACCTAGATTTAAAGGTGAGTAAAATTAAGTTTTATTTTTTTATCAAACGTTTTATCATCAGCGCCCTACTAAGTGCATGTACCATGTACTATTTTCTTCTATTACATTAATTTTAAAAAGAGGGAAATATTCTTTTTTACTAGAAACTGCTTAATTAAAATCAAGCTTGGCATATCATACAATACTTCGTTGTGCAGAAATAAGTTGTTGGCTTTGATAGCGTTTTGTACTGATATCAATTTTATTGCAGGTTAAGACCGAATTCCATCACAAGTCCAAGGATGACCGACAAAGTCAAAAGAGGACCAGTGTAGAAAACGTTCAGAAACGACAGACTGCTAGTTCTTTTGTACAAGATTTGCTGCTCGCCCAGGTATTTGTTGAGTACTGGTTAGATATGCTTCAGTATTTTCAAGGAAAAGACTAAGAAAAAAAAATGGTCATTTCTCTGTCAAAGTGGCGTGGAACCGAATTTACGTGTAAAGCAATTGTTAAAACGTGGGGTCTTAATTCTTAGTACAATGTATATCATTCATATCTTTTGTTGTACATGTAATGATGTGATATGCCTAGATGCTGAAGATAAACTATCTCTGACGTGTCTTTTGGCATAGTTTTCAAAAGTTTAAGGTTTCTTTTTTTATGATGATCTTTAAAGTATTTGTGTAGTTAATTTTAATGTATACACAGATATTTATCTCTGTGAAAATATCTCAAAGGGTACGAGCTGTGTACTTATCTGTTTGTTTTTTATGTGTTTTATTAATTT